CAAGGCTCCAACACCTCTGCTGAGGGGAGTTGTCGCTCGTTGGCATCTTCCGCTCGTTCAGATGCTCCTTCTCCTGCTACTCCTCTTCACGGATTCCGTCAGCAGTCTTTCTTGGAATCCATTTCCAAGAGACAACAGTTTGCGAGCACGCACCCGACGGTGCAAAAGCTGAACGTCCTCCTGTCCAAGTTGCTGGTGCTGCAGTCCCTCCCTTTCCAACTGGTGGACTCAGCACCTTTCCGAGAAATGATGGCTTGTGCCGAGCCGCGGTGGAGAGTGCCAAGCCGTCATTTCTTCGCCAAAAAGGCAGTGCCAGCCCTGCATTCACATGTAGAAGAGATGGTGGGCCAGTCTTTGAGCATGTCGGTCTCTGCCAAAGTGCACGGCAGCGCCGACGTGTGGAGCTGTAACTACGGTCAGGGACAGTACATGTCATTTACGGCCCACTGGGTGAACGTGGTGCCGGCACAGCCGCACCAGCAACTTGGACAGGTCACGCCGCTTTTGCCTCCACGTTTGCACGTCCTTGGTCCACAAAAGATGTCCGCCTCTACCACCTCTTCTTCCGCCGTGTCCTCAGCCGCCACCCCCCACCCGTGCCAAGTCCCATTACCCGACCGGCATATCACATGTGCAGGGCGCAACGGTGTCACGCTGTGCTGCACCTGGTATGCCTTGGCGAACGTAGTCACACAGGGGAGGAACTTCTGAGTGTAATGAACAGAGAAATCGACAGATGGCTGTCTCCGCGCAAACTGAAAATCGGAACCATGTTGACTGACAACGGAAAGAACATGGTGTCTGCTCTGCGTCAAGGAAGGTTGTGCCATGCGCCATGCATGGCTCACGTGTTCAAACTGGTTGTCAAGCGGTTCCTAAAATCCACCATCCATCCCACTGCAAGACATCCTTAAAATGTCACGTAAGCTTTGCATGCATTTCAGCCATTCCTACACCGCAAAGCACACCCTCCTTGAGCTGCAGCGGCAGAACGGAATTGCACTGCATCGCCTGATCTGCGACGTTGCAACAAGGTGGAATTCAACCCTACACATGTTAGACCGCCTTTACGAGCAGCGAAAGGCCATCACCGATTTCCTGATGTTACAAGCGGATAAAGGCACTCCCCTGTGTAACTTCGATGTCAGCCATTGGCAGCTCATGCGTGACACCTGCCGCTTGCTCAGGCCCTTTGAGGAGGCCACGCTATTCGTGAGTCGGCAGGACTATGGGATGAACGACGTCATTCCTCTGTTGCACGTCCTTGAACAAATGCTGTTAACAATGGCTGGTCAGGGTGCGGTAGACGTGGCGCACAGATCTCAACGCCACATGACCCCTGTGGGGGCAGGACAGGAAGAAGAGGAGGAGGTAGAGGAGGACATTTGTGCTCAGGAATTATTGAGTGAAATGGGTGGTTTTTCCACTCAGCGGACAGGAGTGGAGGAGCAGGAGCATCTGGTAGAGGAGGAGGAGGAGGAGACAGAGGACCCAGACGCACCGTGGCAGTATGCTGTGGAGATGGAGGCAGGGAGTCCCTCGCATTCCTTGGCACAAATGGCCCATAGCATGCTCGGTTGCTTGCGTAGCGACAGCCGAATAATAACCATCAGACAGAGGGATGACTTTTGGCTGTCCACCTTGTTGGACCCTCGCTACCATTCCAAAATGGTGGCCTTTTTCACACCTGCTGAGAGGGAGGCCAAAATAACGTACTATAAAAACCACCTATGTAGTCAGTTGGTCTCTGCCTGTCTGCGCGCCAACGTCCATCCTCAGACACTGTGGGCCCTGTGCGCTCGCGTTACGCTGCCATGGCAGCAGGGGAGGGGTGGGGTGGTAGGAGCAGTGGCAGCTCCACCAGCAGCGGCTGCCTCAGTCTGCAGTCGATGATGAGTAGCTTTCTTCACCAGTGCAGTGAGGAAAACTACGAACCAGCCGCAGCAGCAGCATCAGGTGGACCTGGAGCAGGACCTCAAACAACAGGCTTGGGCCTACTTGGACAGCACCCTGCCAACCGAGGTAGACAATCCCCTTGACTACTGGGCAACGAAACTTGACCTTTGGCCCCAACTAGCTGAATTTGCCCTTGAAAGGCTGTCATGCCCGGCCAGTAGCGTGGCATCGGAGCGCGTGTTTAGTGCGGCAGGAGGTATTGTAACTCCGCGGAGGACACGACTGTCCACCCAAAGTGTGGAGAGAGACTCACGTTTGTGAAAATGAATCAGGCGTGGATTAGTCTGGATTTCAAACCACCAGTTGCTGACACAACTGACTAAATCCGCCATGAATCATGCCCCAAACATGTGCCACTTTCAGGTCTCCTCACACTGCTGGTGTTCAATTTTTTGTCATAGGGTGCTGGCAGATTACGGGCCTCCTATAGCTGCTGCCAGGCCCCTAATCTGCCATGGGCCCCTGTACCGCCTCCTCATGCTGCTGCCAGGTCCACAGTCTCTCATGGTTCCCTGTACGGCCTCCCATTGCTGCTGTCTCCATCGCCACACTCTGCCATGTGCCACTTTCAGGTCTCCTCACACTGCTGGTGGGTTCCATTTTTTGTCATAGGGTGCTGGCAGATTACAGGCCTCCCATTGCTGCTGCCAGGCCTGTAATCTGCCATGGGCCCCCGTACCGCCTGGTCACGCTGCTGCTGGGTCCACAGTGTGACATGGGTCCCTGTACCGCCTCCCATTGCTCCCACTCTGCCATGTGCCATTTTCAGGTCTCCTCACACTCCTGCTGGTTTCCATTTTGTCAAAGGTTGCTGGCAGATTACAGGCCTCCCATAGGTGCTGCCAGGCCCCAAATCTGCCATGGGCCCCCGTACCGCCTCGTCACGCGCTGCTGCTGGGTCCACAGTGTGACATGGGTCCCTGTACCGCCTCCCATTGCTCCCACTCTGCCATGTGCCACTTTGAGGTCTCCTCACACTCCTGCTGGGTTCCATTTTGTCATAGGTTGCTGTATGGCCTCCCATTGCTGCTGCCTCCACCGCCACACTGTGGCTCCACACTCTGGTTTTGGCCCCGTGACTGGCCAAATGAGTGAAGTGTGCGGTGATTCTAAGATCGACGGCACTCATCTGCATGTCATACTGACTGACAGTATTATTTCTCTTCCCCAGCAGACTCCAAGGGCATTTAAATTAAAGGTACAGTGTTCTGCACTAATATTAAGTCTCTCTGAAGCCTAGAAACACCCTTTTTTAAGTTAAATTCACAGCGAATATATTCGACTCGAATCGAATATTTTCCACGAATTCGCCGAATCAGTCGAATCGAATTTTTGAATACTTCGCTCATCTCTAGTGGTAATGTCGGCCGATTGAACGACTGATTTTTTCATTGTTCTAAAACAAAAACGTCCGGTTTTCTCCCCGTCTATGGCCTGCATTACACTTCCAGGCTGCAATTCTGTATCTTGTACACTAGGCGGAGGCACCCGTCAGGGTTGTCCTCTGGGCGGAGGTACCCGTCAGGGTTGTCCTCTTTCTCCCTTATTATTGGCGATGTTTTGGAACCCTTGGCAGTAGCGATCAGATCACACTCAGACATCTCTGGTTGCCCATTATTGGTTCACATTTCACAGTTCATGCAGATGATGTTCTGCGTTTCCTCGCCATCCCGTTGGTGTCATCGCAGGACTTCTGCTCATTATTGAATGACTTTGTACCAGTATCAGGTCTTACTGTAAATGATACTAAATCAGTAGTTCTGCCTATTAATGTTCCTGATTCCCTGGGTACATCTCTCCGCAATTCTTTTCCATTTGGTTGGTCCACAGATCAGATTTCATACCTCGGTATAAACCTCACCCCCAGATACTCACAATGATTTGCTGCTAATTGCCCCCCATGTGTGTCACGCCTCTCACCTCTATTGAAGATCTGGCATGGATCCCCTATCTCATTCTTGGCGGAGTCAGTAACAATGAATGTCTTGCCTAGATTACTTTATGTAGATCACTCCCAATTCTGGTCTCGAAAATGTTCCTCAACCGCTTTCAACGGATTATTAATAATTTTATTTGGCGTAACAAACGCCCTCGTTTTACTTCATCGGTCCTCTACCGGTCACAACGGGCGGGAGGCCTCGGTCTCCCCAATTTCTGGCTTTACTACCTGTCAGCCCGATTCACACAGCTATCACAATGGGCGACTATTACTTCCCAGGTGTAAGGGATTTCTGGCAAGACGAACCGTGATCAGAAATGCGTGATCACACACATGCATGCACACGTGAAGATTGGCACCAGACGGGCTATGTAAGGAGGGCCTCTGCTCATGTTCAGTGCTGACTGGTCTTCAGGTCCTACATGTTCCTGTATGATTCCTTTGTTGCTGACCCGGCTTGTTCCTCACCTGACTCTGATTGCTCTCCTGCTCCCGGTTCCTGACTTCGGCTCCTGACCTTGGCTTTCCGTCTGATTCCGTACCGTGCTGCCCGACTGTTGATGACCCCGGCTATTCCATGACATTGCTCCTGTCTCTTGTCCTCACTACCTGCCTTGCTCTGGTGCACGCCTGGCAATCTACAAAACCTGCTCTGCTTGTTACTACTGTGCCTGAATCAGAGGATCATCAGTCTTCCAAGGTCATCATCTGCAAGAGCTGCAAACAACAACCACTGGCACTCTTGTCCCCCTGGGTCCTAGACTCCCTCTGTTCCTACACCAGCGGGGTCGGGGCTGGTGACACAAGTGAGGCCGACCTCGTCATTTCAGTCTCCCATCAGGTATGTGACACCAGGTCCCATGGATCAGATCTGAATCTCAGTCTATACGTCCGTTCTATCTACCAGACATATTATGGCTCAAGATTCCCCCCCGCTCATTATGGACCCATAACTCCATCGTAGCCCAATCATCAATGCTTTGCTCCAGATATCAATTTAAATTAAATCTAACTATCCCGTCTTCAGTCTATCATGAACGCTGCTGCCAGACTCCTCCACCTTACTAACCGCTCAGTGTCCTCCACCCCTCTCTGCCAATCCCTACACCGGCCTCCACTCAGTGTCCTCCACCCCCCTCTGCCAATCCCTCCACTGGCCTCCACTCAGTGTCCTCCTCCACCCCTCTCTACCAATCCCTCCACTGGCCTCCACTCAGTGTCCTCCACCCCCCTCTGCCAATCCCTCCACTGGCCTCCACCCCTCTCTGCCAATCCCTCCACTGGCCTCCACTCAGTGTCCTCCACCCCCCTCTGCCAATCCCTCCACTGGCCTCCACCCCTCTCTGCCAATCCCTCCACTGGCCTCCACTCAGTGTCCTCCACCCCTCTCTGCAATCCCTCCACCTTACTAACCGCTCAGTGTCCTCCACCCCCCTCTGCCAATCCCTACACCGGCCTCCATTCAGTGTCCTCCACCCCCTCTGCCAATCCCTCCACTGGCCTCCACTCAGTCTCCTCCACCCCTCTCTGCCAATCCCTCCACTGGCCTCCATTCAGTGTCCTCCATCCCTCTCTGCCAATCCCTCCACTGGCCTCCATTCAGTGTCCTCCACCCCTCTCAGCCAATCCCTCCACTGGCCTCCACTCAGTGTCCTCCACCTCTCTCTGCCAATCCCTCCACTGGCCTCCACCCCTCTCTGCCAATCCCCCCACTGGCCTCCACTCAGTGTCCTCCACCCCTATCTGCCAATCCCTCCACTGTCCTCCACCCCCCTCTGCCAATCCCTCCACTGGCCTCCACTCAGTGTCCTCCACCCCTCTCTGCCAATCCCTCCACTGGCCTCCACTCAGTATCCTCCACCCCCCTCTGCCAATCCCTACACCGGCCTCCACTCAGTGTCCTCCACCCCTCTCTGCCAATCCCTCCACTGGCCTCCATTCAGTATCCTCCACCCCCTCTCTGCTAATCCCTCCACTGGCCTCCACTCAGTGTCCTCCACCCCTCTTTGCTAATCCCTCCACTGACCTCCACTCAGTGTCCTCCACCCCTCTCTGCCAATCCCTACACCGGCCTCCACTCAGTGTCCTCCACCCCTCTCTGCCAATCCCTCCACTGGCCTCCACTCAGTGTCCTCCACCCCCCTCTGCCAATCCCTCCACTGGCCTCCACTCAGTGTCCTCCACCTCTCTCTGCCAATCCCTCCACTGGCCTCCACCCCTCTCTGCCAATCCCTCCACTGGCCTCCACTCAGTGTCCTCCACCCCTCTCTGCCAATCCCTCCACTGGCTTCCACTCAGTGTCCTCCACCCCTCTCTGCCAATCCCTCCACTGGCTTCCACTCAGTTTCCTCCACCCCTCTCTGCCAATCCCTCCACTGGCCTCCACTCAGTGTCCTCCACCCCCCTCTGCCAATCCCTCCACTGGCCTCCACTCAGTGTCCTCCACCCCCCTCTGCCAATCCCTCCACTGGCCTCCACCCCTCTCTGCCAATCCCTCCACTGGCCTCCACTCAGTGTCCTCCACCCCCCTCTGCCAATCCCTCCACTGGCCTCCACTCAGTGCCCTCCAACCCTCTCTGCCAATCCCTCCACTGGCCTCCACTCAGTGTCCTCCACCCCCATCTGTCATTCCCTCCACTGGCCTCCACTCAGTGTCCTCCACCCCTCTCTGCCAATCCCTCCACTGGCCTCCATTCAGTGTCCTCCACCCCTCTCTGCCAATCCCTCCACTGGCCTCCACTCAGTGTCCTCCACCCCTCTCTGCCAATCCCTACACCGGCCTCCACTCAGTGTCCTCCACCCCTCTCTGCTAATCCCTCCACTGGCCTCCATTCAGTGTCCTCCACACCTCTCTGCCAATCCCTCCACTGGCCTCCACTCAGTGTCCTCCACCCCTCTCTGTTGGCGCCATAAATCTTGTGTAATAATAATAATAATAATAATAATAATAATGCATCAGATTGTAGGGCCCCAATCTGAAGCGGATACAGTGAATGCGGGGTCCGGGGAGAGCGGATATAGTGAATGAGGGGTCCGGGGAGAGGGGATACAGTGAATGCGGGGTCCGGGGAGAGCGGATACAGTGAATGCGGGGTCCGGGGAGAGCGGATATAGTGAATGCGGGGTCCGGGGAGAGCGGATATAGTGAATGCGGGGTCCGGGGAGAGCGGATATAGTGAATGCGGGGTCCGGGGAGAGCGGATATAGTGAATGCGGGGTCCGGGGAGAGCGGATACAGTGAATGCGGGGTCCGGGGAGAGCGGATATAGTGAATGCGGGGTCCGGGGAGAGCGGATATAGTGAATGCGGGGTCCGGGGAGAGCGGATATAGTGAATGTGGGGTCCGGGGAGAGCGGATATAGGGAATGAGGGGTCCGGGGAGATCATATATAGTGAATACGGGGTCCGGGGAGAGCGGATACAGTGAATGCGGGGTCCGGGGAGAGCGGATATAGTGAATGCGGGGTCCGGGGAGAGCGGATATAGTGAATGCGGGGTCCGGGGAGAGCGGATATAGTGAATGCGGGGTCCGGGGAGAGTGGATATAGTGAATGCGGGGTCCGGGGAGAGAGGATATAGTGAATGCGGGGTCCGGGGAGAGCGGATATAGTGAATGCGGGGTCCGGGGAGAGAGGATATAGGGAATGCGGGGTCCGGGGAGAGCGGATATAGGGAATGCGGGGTCCGGGGAGAGCGGATATAGTGAATGCGGGGTCCGGGGAGAGCGGATATAGTGAATGCGGGGTCCGGGGAGAGCGGATACAGTGAATGCGGGGGTCCGGGGAGAGCGGATACAGTGAATGCGGGGTCCGGGGAGAGCGGATATAGTGAATGCGGGGTCCGGGGAGAGCGGATATAGTGAATGCGGGGTCCGGGGAGAGCGGATATAGTGAATGTGGGGTCCGGGGAGAGCGGATACAGTGAATGTGGGGTCCGGGGAGAGCGGATATAGGGAATGAGGGGTCCGGGGAGATCATATATAGTGAATACGGGGTCCGGGGAGAGCGGATATAGTGAATGCGGGGTCCGGGGAGAGCGGATATAGGGAATGCGGGGTCCGGGGAGAGAGGATATAGGGAATGCGGGGTCCTGGGAGAGCGGATATAGGGAATGCGGGGTCCGGGGGAGTGGATACAGTGAATGCAGGATATGGGGTTTAGTAACACTTTAAGTCCTCCCCATTGAACACACACCTGAGACATACAGACTTGGGTTCGGGAGGTTCAGGAGAAGACAGGTCCATTCTAACAGCTTCCTGTCAACAGCTCCCTAAAAAGTGATCCAGTATGGATTGCTTTTCAGAGAGCCAGCAAGGGCTGTCCCCTGTGAATGGGGCCCCCAGGTGTGTATAGACCACACAGCTGTTTGTTGGGCGTAAAGCATTAGCTTGTCAAAGGCAAACGTTTACAATTGTTATTGTGTGTTTTGTGTTCAGCATCTGAATATAACCTGTAGAGAGGGGCAGCACAGCGGCTGAGTGGTCAGCACTTCCGCCTGGCAGCAATGGGGTCATTGGTTCAAATCCCAACCACAGCACCACCTGCATGGAGTTTGCATGTTCTCCCTGTGCCTGCGTGGGTTTCCTCCAGGTACTCCGGTTTCCTCCCACACTCCAAAGACATGCTGGGAGGTTAATTGGTTCCTGTCTAAATCGGCCCTAGTATGTGTATGTATGGATGTGAGTTAGGGACCTTAGATTGTACACCCCTCGAGGGTCAGGGACCTTAGATTGTACGCCCCTCGAGGGTTAGGGCCCTTAGATTGTACGCCCCTCGAGGGTCAGGGACCTTAGATTGTACCCCCCTTGAGGGTCAGGGACCTTAGATTGTACACCCCGTGAGGGTTAGGGACCTTAGATTGTACACCCCTTGAGGGTTAAGGACCTTAGATTGTACGCCCCGTGAGGGTTAGAGGACCTTAGATTGTACACCCCTTGAGGGTTAGGGACCTTAGATTGTACGCCCCGTGAGGGTCAGGGACCTTAGATTGTACACCCCTCAAGCGTCAGGGACCTTAGTTTGTACACCCCTCAAGCGTCAGGGACCTTAGATTGTACACCCCGTGAGGGTTAGGGACCTTAGATTGTACACCCCTTGAGGGTTAGGGACCTTAGATTGTACACCCCTTGAGGGTTAAGGACCTTAGATTGTACGCCCCGTGAGGGTTAGGGACCTTAGATTGTACACCCCTTGAGGGTTAGGGACCTTAGATTGTACGCCCCGTGAGGGTTAGGGACCTTAGATTGTACACCCCTTGAGGGTTAGGGACCTTAGATTGTACGCCCCGTGAGGGTTAGGGACCTTAGATTGTACACCTCTTGAGGGTTAGGGACCTTAGATTGTACACCTCTTGAGGGTTAGGGACCTTAGATTGTACGCCCCTTGAGGGTTAGGGACCTTAGATTGTATGCCCCCCGAGGGTCAGGGACCTTAGATTGTATGCCCCCCGAGGGGAATGGCTAGTATGTGTGTATTTAGGGACCTTAGATTGTACGCCCCCCGAGGGTTAGGGACCTTAGATTGTATGCCCCTCGAGCGTCAGGGACCTTAGATTGTACGCCCCTTGAGGGTTAGGGACCTTAGATTGTACGCCCCTTGAGGGTTAGGGACCTTAGATTGTACACCCCTCAAGCGTCAGGGACCTTAGATTGTACACCCCTTGAGGGTTAAGGACCTTAGATTGTACGGCCCGTGAGGGTTAGGGACCTTAGATTGTACACCCCTTGAGGGTTAGGGACCTTAGATTGTACGCCCCGTGAGGGTTAGGGACCTTAGATTGTACGCCCCTCGAACGTCAGGGACCTTAGATTGTACGCCCCTTGAGGGTTAGGGACCTTAGATTGTACGCCCCCGAGGGTTAGGGACCTTAGATTGTACGCCCCCCGAGGGTTAGGGATCTTAGATTGTACGCCCGTCAAGGGTTAGGGACCTTAGATTGTACGCCCCTTGAGGGTTAGGGACCTTAGATTGTACGCCCCTCGAGGGTCAGGGACCTTAGATTGTACGCCCCTCGAGGGTCAGGGACCTTAGATTGTACGCCCCTTGAGGGTTAGGGACCTTAGATTGTACGCCCCTCGAGGGTCAGGGACCTTAGATTGTATGCCCCTCGAGGGTTAGGGACCTTAGATTGTACGCCCCTTGAGGGTTAGGGACCTTAGATTGTACGCCCCCCGAGGGTTAGGGACCTTAGATTGTACCCCCCTTGAGGGTTAGAGACCTTAGATTGTACGCCCCTCGAGGGTTAGAAACCTTAGATTGTACGCCCCTTGAGGGTTAGAGACCTTAGATTGTACGCCCCTCGAGGGTTAGAAACCTTAGATTGTACGCCCCTTGAGGGTTAGAGACCTTAGATTGTACGCCCCTCGAGGGTTATGGACCTTACATTGTACGCTCCTCGTGGGCGGGGACTGATGTGAATGTACAATATATATGTAAAGTGTTACATAAATTGATGGTTTTATATAAGTACCTGAAATAAATAAATATAATAGTATAAATGAATGCAGATTTGTGAAGAAATGATTGGAGGAGTCTCTTTGTCGAAGAGGCGGCTCGCGGGGAGAATTGCACCCGCTACATGACCCCAGACCACAATCATCTACATGTACAGTAACGCCCGTTCCCTTCAGCACTTCCTAATGAAGGATGTAACATTTACATCTCTGGAGTAACACTTACATCTCTGGAGTAACACTTACATTTCTGGAGTAACACTTACATCTCTGGAGTAACACTTACATTTCTGGAGTAACACTTACATCTCTGGAGTAACACTTACATCTCTGGAGTAACACTTACATCTCTGGAGTAACACTTACATTTCTGGAGAAGCGAGAGAAGAAGGAATATTCCTGGAATAGTCCTCGGCGCCATCCGCAGTCTTTGTACAATAAACAACCTTTACTCCAGCGTGCCGACACCCTGATTGTGATGTCACACGGGTGTTGTTCACTTTCAGAAGAAGGTTTTTCTCGTTAAAGCGGGAGTTCCAATAAAATACAACAGAAATGTGAGCGCTCTCCAGGGAGCAGCTACAACACTCAAGGCTACCCATAGAAAACCTCATAAAAGCATAAAAATAAAAAAGTGCAGCGCGAAGGAAAATGATAAATATAAATAATCATCGTCCGTGTGCAAAACTGCCAACAAATAATTCTGAATGGATGACCAATATCTATACAATAAAGGTGACAGTCTGTGCAGATATAAATTCTCTGTAGAAAATCCAATGGTGGTGCTCCGAATAGTGTAGTAACATTACGCACTCACCAGATGCGTAATGTAAGTATACATTGTATAACCCAGCAGAAGCCTCCCTAACCTCTTGCCGCCTGGCCAATGGCCATTTGGAGGCCGGCAAAATCCCTCAGCGTTCCGGGTGGATGACATTTGGCGTCCTCCCGGGCATGCGCAGTTTGCGCGCCTGCAGAGCCGCACAGTGGCGCGATCTGTCACCGGCCGTGTACCTCAGACACGGCCGATGACAGATCTGAGTACCGGCCCCCTTTGCCAATACCATGTGACCTGCAGTGACCAATCACAGCAGGTCACATGACAGTTGTATACAATGGATGGCTTCATTCATGCCATCCATTGTATACCAGTGCCTAGCTGTGAATGGTCACAGCAGGTCACATGCACATGTCATGTGATTAGCTGTGGCCAAATCACAGCTAAGCACAAAAAAAAAACCCTGAATGGATCGATGTCATTCAGGTAAATGATTGCTTATAGCAAAGTAATTGTTTGCTATAAGCAAATTGTGTAGAAAAAAAAATACTGATCACTTCCCCAAAGTAGTACAATGTTACTATGGTAACATTGTACTACTTTGGTCATAGTGAAATATGAAAAAAAAAAACTTAAAAAAAGAAAACAAATGTAATAATAAATTAAAAAAAAATATTATTTTTATTCGTACTGTCACCAGTCAGTGTCCCTGATCACCGCCATGCCAGTTTATATGATGACGCTGTACTGCACTGGTGACAGAATGCAAAAAAAAAGGTGAAAATAATTTTTTTATATATTTTTTCATTTTCCAAAAAATGATGACAAAAAAATTACAACTTCAAAAAACTCGCCATGCCTCTTATGAAGTACGCCGGACTGTCTACTCTGCAAAAAGGGGTCATTTGGGGGATATCTGTACTGTCCTGACATTTGGGGGATATCTGTACTGTCCTGACATTTGGGGGGGATATCTGTACCATCCTGACATTTGGGGGATATCTGTCCTGTCCTGACATTTGGGGGATATCTGTACTGTCCTGACATTTGGGGGGTATCTGTCCTGTCCTGACATTTGGGGGACATCTGTACTGTCCTGACATTTGGGGGATATCTGTACTATTCTGACATTTGGGGGATATCTGTACCGTCCTGACATTTGGGGGATATCTGTACCGTCCTGACATTTGGGGGATATCTGTACTGTCCTGACATTTGGGGGGTATCTGTCCTGTCCTGTCCTGTCATTTGGGGGACATCTGTACCGTCCTGACATTTGGGGGATATCTGTACTGTCCTGACATTTGGGGGGATATCTGTACTGTCCTGACATTTGGGGGATATCTGTACTATTCTGACATTTGGGGGATATCTGTACCATCCTGACATTTGGGGGATATCTGTACTATTCTGACATTTGGGGGATATCTGTACCGTCCTGACATTTGGGGGATATCTGTACCGTCCTGACATTTGGGGGATATCTGTACTGTCCTGACATTTGGGGGGTATCTGTCCTGTCCTGTCATTTGGGGGACATCTGTACCGTCCTGACATTTGGGGGACATCTGTACCGTCCTGACATTTGGGGGATATCTGTACTATTCTTACATTTGGGGGATATCTGTACCGTCCTGACATTTGGGGGATATCTGTACTATTCTGACATTTGGGGGATATCTGTACCGTCCTGACATTTGGGGGATATATCTGTACTATTCTTACATTTGGGGGGGGATATCTGTACTGTCCTGACATTTGGGGGATATCTGTACTATTCTGACATTTGGAGGGATTTGTACCGTCCTGACATTTGGGGGGGATTTGTACTGTCCTAACATTTGGGGGGGATTTGTACCATCCTGAGATTTGGGGGGATTTGTACCGTCCTGACATTTGGGGGGATTTGTACCGTCCTGACATTTGGGGGGATTTGTACCGTCCTGACATTTGGGGGGATTTGCACCCAAGAAATGGAGCCGAATACATTTTGGCTTAAACTGCTGAATTATTTATTTGTAAAATTTAATAAAGAATGAAACAAAAACACAATTTTTTTTTTTCTAAAATTTTGGTCTTTTTTTGTTAATTTAGCAAAAAAAACAAAAAAAAAATCTGAGTTTTGATGAAATTCCCCCAAAGAACGCTCTAATTGTGTCAGCAAAATGCTGGGAATGTAGTCTGCGTAAAGCGGTGCATGACCGCGCAATTGTAGAGACGCTATCTGTCCTGTCCTGACATTTGGGGGATATCTGTCCTGTCCTGACATTTGGGGGATATCTGTACCGTCCTGACATTTGGGGGGTATCTGTACTGTGCTGACATTTGGGGGATATCTGTACCGTCCTGACATTTGGGGGATATCTGTCCCGTCCTGACATTTGGGGGATATCTGTGTTGTTCTGACATTTGGGGGATATCTGTACCGTCCTGACATTTGGGGGATATCTGTACTGTCCTGACATTTGGGGGATATCTGTACTGTTCTGACATTTGGGGGATATCTGTACTGTTCTGACATTTGGGGGATATCTGTACCGTCCTGACATTTGGGGGATATCTGTACCGTCCTGACATTGGGGGGATATCTGTACCGTCCTGACATTTGGGGGATATCTGTACTGTCCTGACATTTGGGGGATATCTGTACCGTCCTGACATTTGGGGGATATCTGTCCCGTCCTGACATTTGGGGGATATCTGTGTTGTTCTGACATTTAGGGGATATCTGTACCGTCCTGACATTTGGGGGATATCTGTACTGTTCTGACATTTGGGGGATATCTGTACCGTCCTGACATTTGGGGGATATCTGTACCGTCCTGACATTTGGGGGATATCTGTACCGTCCTGACATTTGGGGGATATCTGTACCGTCCTGACATTTGGGGGATATCTGTACCGTCCTGACATTTGGGGGATATCTGTACCGTCCTGACATTTGGGGGATATCTGTACCGTCCTGACATTTGGGGGGATAGCTGTACTGTTCTGACATTTGGGGGATATCTGTACCGTCCTGACATTTGGGGGATATCTGTACCATCCTGACATTTGGGGGATATCTGTACTGTCCTGACATTTGGGGGATATCTGTACCATCCTGACATTTGGGGGATATCTGTACCATCCTGACATTTGGGGGATATCTGTACTGTCCTGACATTTGGGGGATATAGCACAAGCTGCAAGAGCCGTTGGGTCATCTGGTACGAGGAAGAGATGGCCATTCTGGGGAAGGATGCCACCATAGAAAGAAAGATGGCGGCCATTGAATAGGCTCGAAAGAGAAAAAAAGAGTGAGAAGCTGCAAAGAATCAAGCAGCTGCTCCTGTGGCTGTCCCTGTGGCACGGGAGGCCCAGAGAATATCCAGGAAGGACTTTAAGCCCTACCAAGAACACACCGGAGATGTGGATGGGTTCTTCCAGGACTTTGAATACCAGTGCGAACTACTGGAGGTCCCACCCACAGACTGGACTCGCCATGTGGTGGGGCTGCTTGACGGAGGGGCTGCTGAGGCCTACCGAATGATGGACCCCCTCAAGAAATGGAACTATGAGGAGATAAAAAGGGCCGTACTGGACTACTACGTGGTCTCATCGGAGTCATATCGGGCCCAGTTCCTGACTACCGCCCGCCTTCCGGAGGCCTCCTTTAAAATGTTTGCACACAAGTTGTCGGTTGCCTGCCGCTGTTGGCTGGAAGGGGAGAAGGCAACCTCCCCTGAGCAGATCATCCAAGCCATCCTGAAGAAACAGTTCCTTTTCAAGTGCCCCCCCGAGCTCCGACAGTGGGTGCGTGAGCGGAAACCTGCCACCCTGGAAGAAGCTCCAGCCTTAGAGGACGAGGCTCTTCTCATTAACCCGCAATGGAAGAAGCCTGCTGCCGAGGCACCCCAAGCGGCCAGGATGCCTCATCCTACACTGGTGCCCTACACACCTCCCCATCGCCGGATGGCCCCACAAACAGTGCCAGCACTACGGCCCTTACTCCCACCTCGTTCAGCCACCTCGCAACGGGGCCCCAGACAGGCCTTAGATAGGCGGTGCTTTGGCTGTAGACAGATTTGTCACTACCAGGCCAGCTGCTCCGCCAAGAAACAGACTCTCGGGCCTAGCTTGCCCCGGCCAGTGAATTCTGTGGATCTGTACCAGGCTCCCGAGGACTTGCCACCACCCCCTTCAGACTGGGATCTTGCTCCTGCAGACAAGGACACCCCCCCAGGAGTCTTTGGCCTACAGCCGGTGGGGGCCCCTACCCAGAGCCTCCAAGGAAAACCCTTGCAAGAGGTCACTGTGGATGGACAAAAGGCGGTGGGCTTCCGAGACTCAGGGGCCTTCCTCACCATTGTGGACCCCCGAGTGGTGCACCCTGACGCTGTACAGCCTGGCCCTGGGATAGTGATTCAACTAGCAGGGGGCACCAAACGCTTCATCCCTCTTGCTACCGTCAATCTGGACTATGGCTTGGGGCCTAAACGCTGCAACGTGGGTGTAATGGCAGGACTGCCTGCAGATGTGCTTCTTGGGAATGATGTGGGCGATCTTCAATGCCACTTTGTGGGAGCCGTCACACGAAGTCAGGCCTGCTGGGAAACCGCTGAGAGGAAGGAGTCACCCCAGAATGTGGACGGACCTCCGCTGCCCGCGGTGAGTGACTAAACTCTGACTGCTGACAATACTGGGGTGACATGGGACCGGGACAAGTTTCAAGGGGACTTAGCCACCGACCCTACTCTGACAAGCTTCTGGGCCCGAGCAGGGCTGACTGGTCCGGGGACCGGCGAAAGGATAGTGCAGGAAAATGGGTTGCTGTACCGAGTGGTGGAGACCGATGCCGAAGGGGGGCCCCAGACCGTGGCTAAACAGCTGATAGTTCCCCAACAATTCTGGACCCAAATGCTACACCTTGCTCACGATATTCCCAATGCTGGGCATCAGAGAAAGCTACGAACCGAAAAGAGGTTAGCCCAGGCCTTCTATTGGCCTGGGATGTCCTAATCGGTAGCTCGCTACTGCCGTACCTGCGATACCTGTCAGCGACATGGAAGAACGGGTGGCCTGCAGGCCCCTCTACAGCCCCTACCCATTATTGAGGAGCCGTTTCAATGAGTAGCTATTGACATTCTGGGCCCATTAGCTCGCTCCAGCAAATCCGGAAAGCGGTACATCCTGACCATCGTGGACTATGCTACTCGTTACCCCGAAGCAGTCGCCCGGTCCAGCATCACAGCTCCCAAAGTTGCAGAAGCCATGGTTACTGTCTTCACCCGAGTGGGCTTCCCTGCTGAAATCCTGTCAGATCAGGGGACTCAGTTCATGTCAGGCCTTGTTCAGTCCCTCTGGCAGACCTGTGGACTGCGGGCCATCCGGACAACTCCCTATCACCCCCAGACCAATGGACTGTGTGAACGCTTCAACGGGACCCTGAAGGCCATGCTACGGGCCTTTGTAGATCTAGAGCCAGACTGGGAAAGATACCTGCCCCACCTCCTCTTTGCCTACTGGAAGGTCCCCCAGGAATCTACCGGATTTTCCCCCTGTGAACTGCTGTATGGGCGGAAAATCCGTGGCCCCCTGACCCTACTGAAGGAATACTGGGAGGGTCAACTACCAGATACCGGGGTCCTTGTGGTGCCCTACATCTTGGAACTGCGTGAAAGGATGGGCCAACTAGCTGGCCTCGCAGCTGACCATCTCCAAGCATCCCAGGCCCGGCAAAAGACATGGTATGATCGCAAGACACGCACCCGGGAGTTTACTGAAAACCAACAGATCCTCATGATTGTCCCAAATCCCCAGAACAAATTGCAGACCACATGGGAGGGACCCTCTCGTGTCATTAGGAAAGTGAATGACACTAACTATATTCTCGGACTAGATGATCGGGGGAGATGGCAGAAAATGGTACATGTCAATATGATCAAGGAGTACCATGACCGAAACCCCCTTGTTATGGCCGTCTGTCCAATACCCTCTGAGGAGGAGGAAGAGGCCGTACTGGACCTCCTGGAAGCAGCACGCCATCCAGCTGACATGCACCAGGTGCCCCTGAGTCTGCAGCTGAACCCGGAGCAACAGAGGGCCATGAGTGCTGTCCTGGGCCAGCGCAGTATCGCTTTTTCGGCCCAGCCTGGAAAGACCACTATCACCACTCACCATGTGGAGACCCTGGGAACCCGGCCCCTCCAACAAGCCCCATATCGTGTCCCCGAAGCTGTTAAGAACACTATGAGACAGGAACTGAACAAAATGCTTGATCTGGGAATTTGCAGGAAGGAGGGAGATGGATGGAGAGAAGTGGGGAGAGAAGGAGGGGGAAGAGAAGGGGAAGATGAGGGGGGAGAGGAAGGGAGATGGATGGAGAGAAGTGGGGAGAGAAGGAGGGGGGGAGAAGGGGGGGAGATCAGGTGGAGAGGAGGAGGGAGATGGAGGGGGGAGAAGGAGGGAGAGGAGGAGGGGGGAAGAGAAGGGGCGATATAAGGGCGGAGAGAAAGAGGGAGATTGAGGGGGGTGAGAAAAGGAGGGAGATGGAGGGGGGAGAAAAGGAGGGAGATGGAGGGGGGGGGGGGAGAAAAGGAGGGAGATGGAGGGGGGAGGGGGGAGGGGAAGAAGGAGGGAGATGGAGGGGGGAGGAAAGAAGGAGGGAGATGGAGGGGGGAGGGAAGGGGATGGGGAGAGTTCTGCTGTAGTGCAGAGTTCAGCTCACTCCCCCAGGTTGGTCTCTGTAGGCTCAGGCAGAGGAATCTATCTTGCAGCCACCATGTAGTTGTCAGCTGCAATGCTTGAAAGTTCCCGCCCACACATCTTTTCAGGCTCAGCACTGGTTAGGAGTTGGAGTGTGGGCGGGGCAGACAGGAGGAGACGGGCGGGGCAGACGGGGCAGACAGGAGGAGAGGGGTGGGAGGAGGCCATCTCTATGCTGATGACACGCAAACCTATCTTTCTGCTCCTCACACACCTCACCCCTTCAGTCTCCTCCTCACCTCACCCCTTCCTCCTCCTCACCTCACCCCTTCAGTCTCCTCACCTCACCCCTTCCTACTCCTCCACACCTCACCCCTTCCTACTCCTCCTCACCTCACCCCTTCAGTCTCCTCCTCACCTCACCCCTTCAGTCTCCTCCTCACCTCACCCCTTCCTACTCTCCTCCTCACTTCACCCCTTCCTCACTCTTCCTACTCTTCCTCACCTCACCCCTTCAGTGTCCTCCTCACCTCGCCCCTTCCTACTCCTCATCACCCCTTCAGTCTCCTCCTCACCTCATCCCTTCAGTCTCCTCTCACATCACTAACCTACTGACATATCAGCATGGATGTCACTCCACTTCCCCAAACTCAATCTTTCCAAAACTGAGCTCTTAGTATTCCCCCGGCCCGTGCCCCAATCAATAATACAACCATCTACAACCTCCCCTCATGTTGTAATCCTAGACTTCCATCTGTTCTTTCAGCCCCAAATCTAATCGCTGTCCAAATCTTGTAGACTTCATATCTCTGACCTCCGCAACATCTCCAACCTCCGCAACACCTCCAAGATACGGCCATTCCTAACCTCGGAAACCACTAAGCAACTTATTCCCTCCCTGGTTA